GGAGCAATGCATCCGTGTGGGGTGAACCACAGCTGTATTTACCTTGCGGGGCTTTCTCCTCCTCCTCCCACGCCTTTCACCAGCCCTGCCAGCGTGGGACCCCGCTGGCTGGCTGGCCGCGGCCGCCCAGCCCCGCTGAGTCTGATCTCAGCGCTGACGTAGCAGGAAGGAATACAGCTGTCTTTCTGTCCGCCCACAAGCCGTGGGCCAAGGGGGACCATAAAGCCTGGCTTCCCGGGCAGCAAGGAGCATCCCTCAGAGCATCCCTCGCCCCTCCGCGCCGCCCTGGGGCAGGCCGCTGTGGTCTTCAGGATGAACCAGAAACCTGTTTGTTTTCTTGAGGTGTTTAAAGAAACCCAGCAGTGGGAGGGCTCCCCGGGTGTAAAACATCCCTGTGGGTCGGCGGGTGCCCTGAGGTGTGGGGGTTACATGAGGTTGGTGCTCGCTGGTGGGGCATCACGGGAGCCTTGAGTGCTGGCATGGGGAGGTTAAGTGGGGAGCAAAGACCCCATCCCTAGCTCCTAAGGAGCCTGAGGACTTATTTTCCAAGCTGCTGGGGCTTGGGGCTGGGAATGTGATGCTTGGCTGGCTGTAGGGCAGGCAGAAGGACCAGGAACGCTTTATGGAAATGTCAGTGGCGTGTTCACGGCCTTCTCTCCACTGGGATAAATGAGGACAAGGGAAAGCATTGGCCTGGGCTGTGCAGCATGATGGTGGGCTCTTTGCATCGGGGCCTCAGGGCTGCACAGCCCTGCGCTGTTGCAGTGCTGCGGGACATGGACTGGGTCTTTGGGCTGGGGCCTGTGGGCCAGTCCTGAATGAAGGGGGAAAAGCAATAATCTGGTAATGGTGCCCTGGGTGTCTTGAGGTGAAATCATAGGAATCAAGATCTCCCCTTTCAAGGCTGGGCTGAAGCCATGTGTTGGCATGGTGCAGCGGGTTGGTGGTGGGTAGCGCTGGCCCCACGGGCTGAGCCATGATGCTGGGTGTGAAAGAAATGCTGGGAGAACTGCAGCTCAAGACTTGGGTGCTTTTTGCTCTCTGCTCTGCACTATGCCAAGCGTGACCCTCCCCATGCGGCGTCCGCTCCGTGCTGTATCATCTCTGCTTGCTGATGGAGACAGTTTGGCGCTTCTCAGCATGGCACCTGTATTTGATGTGTGACATGCACTGGGGTTCAATAACATTTTGCTCTAAAATGGTCTTTACTGTTATTTGTAAGTGCTTTGAGATCTTCCTAAGGAAGGATCTGTTTCAGTGCGGTACATGTAATAAAGCAAATATTGCTGAGAAAATTAAGGCGTGAAGGAATATGTCCTCTTATAGGCCATAACCATCTTAGATAACTGCAGCTCAGGTGTGAAAGCTTTGGCTAAGAACAGAGAGTAGGAGGTTATTACGAACTGGTGTAAACAACATGTTCAAGGAAATTGAATTATGAATTAAATAAACTGGATGGCTTAGAAAACTGCAGACAACAATCAAGTCAAAATACCCATGCTGCCAATGTGCTAGCAAAATCTGAACAGGATAAACTTTACCAGTCTCTTTGGGAGCAGCGGCCAGAGAACAGCAGCATGCTTTTATCTGCAGGGGAGAGAGTGCCCTGCCTGACCCCAGCGAGCCCCTTTAGTCAGAGTGGAAATATTAAAATAATGAGAAGCTGTGGATCAGCAGCACAGGAGGGAAAGGGGAGTCTTGGAAGGGCTGAAAAAAACATTTCTCTGAGTCACTGCAGGGAGAGAAATGAGCGCAGACAGCAGGTTGGAGAGGGAAGATTTGGGTTGCTCTTCTCTAAAGCGAGTGGTCTGTGTAGCCCCCATGAGCCCACAGGGCCGGGTGGGCAGCGGTGCTGCTCATGAGGGGCTTGAGGAGGAGGTTGAGGCCCCTTCCACCCCCAGTGATCCTGCGGCCCTGGGACTTGCTGGCGCTGCTCGGCTCCATCACTGGTGGGTCAGGAGCTCCCATGGCATCAGTCTTGTTGCAGTCCATTGACTCCCAAGTAATTTGGGAACAGTTAGCGGGCTGGAAAGGATGCAAAGGTGGCTTGGTCTTTGGCCCAAGTGCTGCAGTAACCTTTTACCATGGGAAATAAAGTGCACGTGGCCTGAGCTGATGCTCACAGTCATGCTGACTCGGTAGGATCACAATCTCTGCAAGCCAAGCTTAGCTTTATTTACAGTTTCAGCCACAGGCTGCCTCGCTTCAAATGGGAGCATATGCTAAAGCAGGTCCTGTATTCCTTAAAGACACCCCTCTGGGGCTGGGCTCCCACACAGCCCAGTGTGCCCCTCATGGGTATCGTGTTGGGCAGGGCAGGCAGCAGAGCGGCGAGCCCACAGACCCCATTCTGGTCTCTGCTACACAGTCAAGGGTATCGCTGGGTCTTAGAAATGAGCCACTTCATAAGCCACAGAGCTAATGAAGCTTGGTGTCTTAATATTTGGCTTCTACCATGGCTGGTAAAGCACCAGTTCTTTTCCTGCCCCTGGGATATTTCTCATGTCTCTTGCTTGTGTGATTTATCTGATATTTAACACTGGTTGACTCTTCCACCCTGTAGCTTTCCACTTAGTGGGGATGCTGAGTTCCTGTCTTTTTCCTGTTTCCTGGCTGTTGTGAAATTCATAGGTAGCTGATATCCTTGAGGTTTCTACCAACTGTTAAATCTGGTTGAAATTTGTCAGCTGGGTCCATGTTATGGCAAGTGTGGGGCAGTCAGTTTGATTCCAAAAGTCTTGTTATCTTGACAAATTGAACTACAAGGGCTCCAAAACTCATGAGGGGGTGTGATTCGAGCTCAGATTTGATGAAAAACCAGAGCTCTAGCAATGAAAGCAAAATAAAAAGCAAACCTAACAAGATAATTTCATCCTGATCTGTGCAAAGATGATTAAATTAATTGATGCAAAGGTGTCAGCTGGTCCAGCTCACCTCAGTGCCTTGCTGTGCCTAAGAAGTAGCTGAAAAGTGAAAGTTGTACCCTTACTGCCCACAAGCACAGTGATGCTTTAGGAGTCAATTATAAAAAGGGCTTTGATTTTTTTTTTTTCTAATCTTTTTGAAATACAAAAGTGAACTAATACCCTAATGGTCTTTAAACCCACCTCCCCACGCAGCTCCTCCAAACAGAGTAAAATACGCTGAGGTCAATTACTTTTCTAATGTCCCAGTGCCTCGAATTAGCTGTCCCGGTCCCACCTCATTGTCTGTCCCTTCCCATTCTACAAATCAGAGATTTGATCTGTCTCCCTGTGAAATTGTGAACAGGGTTTCCATGGGCCGAAGAGAAGGTGGTGGGGCTGAACATTAGCAGAGTTGCTTGCAGGAGAGTCAGGGAGAACAGTTTCACCAAATCTAGCCCTAGCAGTGCTTTGCTCTCTCTCCCTGCGGACTGTGCTGCTGGGTCTTGCAGCAGTGGGCAGGGAGAGGATTCGTTCTGTGTAGCTGTCCCTTGAGCTGAAACCGGAATTTCCTCCAGAAAAATCACAGCTAATGGGATTGTAACATCCCTTCGTATGGCCCATCAGCTGAGGAAGGAGAAGAGGTAAATATGAAACAACCGGTCACCACATGATTGCTCTTTGGCCAGTATGGAAGAGGAAAGGCAGAATCATGCATTGGTGAGGGTGACCCGAGCAACAGGGGCGGTTGGGCAGGTGCTGCCCAGCTGACCATTGCCTCAGGACATGAGGTCTTGGCTGACAGGTAAAAGTGTGATTCGGAGTCATCAAAACCACTGTGGTGCTTTCCATTGACTTCTCTTCTCAGAGGGGATCCCGGGCAAGGCTGGTGTTTGTCCAAGGGCTCAACAGCACTGCTACTCTGGGGAAGGAGGGTATCGCCAAATGGAGACTTTTCTCATTAAAGTTGTCCCAGTAATACTTTTCTTCTGCTTTTCTTTCCTGACTAGCTTCTCTTTTGTCTCTAGAATGTGGCTGCCCTTCAGCACTGGTTGAATGATTGTCTTATCTCTATTTTATAAACCCTTTAGGAATAAAGATCTTAGAAAACAGAGGGTTTAATTAATAATCTTTGTCATTGCTTCATTCCTCGCTGTTGGTTCCTGCTTTTGCTGTTCTCTGCAGAAGGCAGTGGCGGTGGCTGCGTTGGTGACTGCACACAGCTAGGCTTTCGGATCAAATTTGGCATTGACAAATGTCAGCCTCGGAGCACTGGGACATGTTATTGACAGTGAGAGCGAAGCGGAGTTCAAAGGCACCTCGTGAGACTAACAGTGTTCTTGTATTTTCTTTTAGGAGCTGTCTTTTGCAAACAACTGTGTTTATTTCTAGTACTCCTCTCCTCCCCAGCTAATTTTCTTTTAAGTTTTGGAGCCTTTAAATTAGGTCTTGGAGGGAAGGGCCAACACCAGAAGCTGTATGTACCTGTGCCACTCAGTGGGAGACCAGGCTTGTCCAAATCAAGTCCCCCTCCTCTGCTAGCAGAGGGCTCTTTCAGCTCTCGTGGAAAGTGTTCATTTGGTCTCTCGCTGCTGGGAGGCTCTGGAGAATCACAGGGTTCTGCAGATTTGTCCCAGGAAGAAAGAGATGATGATGAAGACCTATACGTGCTGTGGGTTGGCAAGGCTCCTGGTGCATCCCTTCTCCCCTGGGTGCCTCACTGAGCACTGTAATTCCTGGCACTATATAACCTGCCCCTAGAAAAGGCTTGTCTAAATGCTGGGTATTGCTGACCTCCTGATCACTGGCCTTTCTGCTGGTTATGGCAGCCCCTGGGGCTCTGCCCCTTCGCACACGTGCAGTGTCTGTGCTCTGTGCTGGCCTTGTCTTCTCACCTTTGTTTGCATCTCTCTTGCAGGTCTGGATGGATGCTGGCACTCAAATCTTCTTTTCGTATGCAATTTGTCTGGGATGCCTGACAGCTCTGGGCAGCTATAACAAATACCATAACAACTGCTACAGGTAACGGGAGCGCGGCTCTGCTGCCTAGAGCCTTCCCCTCCCTGAACATCAGTGCACATAGGCTGGTGAACTGCTGGAGGCTTACTGGCCTTTTGAAGTGTCATGTTTTCTGTTTCTAGTCAAGGTGTAAGAAAACTCTTTCCAGGTGTTTTCTTCCCAAATCCAGCTCTCTGTGCTTTCTACCCAAGGGAACTTTCTGTCTGTGCCATGGATGTCAAATCCCCTCTTCCACACCGGCTGAGACTCAACAGAGTCAGATATTCTTCACTAGCTTTGTGACCCCAGCCTACACCACAACCTCCCCTATTACATGAGTGCATGAGTAGCCGTAGGGGAAGCAGAGCTGCGAGATCTGATGGCTCTAGCCTGGAGTCCTTTCACCTTGGAATTTATCCTTCCTAGGTACATTTGGACCTAGTGTCTTGCACAGTTGTCAGTCCTCTGGGTTCCTTATGTGCTATGGTCTACATGTAAACCTGCTGATATGACTTCTGTTTCTTGCATACTCTCCCTGTGCTGGACTGCCCTTGAACAGAGATGGCTAAACCATGACAGCCAGGCTGCCGGATTCCATCAGGGTGTCAAGTTGAAGTGGTCAGGTGAAAATAAACTCATTTAGCTGCAGATGTATGCAGCCTCTGGAGCTGCGTCCGCAGGGGCAAAAGGCTAGTGCAAGTGGAAGAGCCCCGTAAATCTACCTGCCTCCCTTCCCGCCCTTTCTCTGCTGGCTGTGTTGCTCCTTGCAGTGGGTTCTCCCTCCAACTTTTAAATTTGAATTTGTTGTCATTGCTGTGGAAGGTCCAGGCAGACCACTGGCTCCATGGTCCTTGCTCAGCATCTTTCTCTCTCTCCACCTTAGGAGAAGTTCACTCCTGCTGTAGGGATGCCTCTCCAACAGTAGCTGTGCTTGGACTCCTCTCCCTTTTCATGCCCCTTCTCCCAGATGCAGTTTTGAGAGAAAAAGCTGTGGGAAAGGAAGAGATAACAGATCTGGCTGTGGCCTGCTGCATGTCCTTGGGCATTAGCCCTCTGCATCTCCAGTCTGGATGTGTAACATGGAGATGATGACAGGGGCTGCTTAGCAGCAAGGTTATAAAAAGCTTCTGTAGCTGCAGCTGGGAGACACTATGGAATGAGGAGAGATGTCTGTTTGCACACAAACCCTTTGTGCTATTTGGCTTTGCTAGGAAATTTTTCTTGGTTTCGGTGTTAAACATCTCACTAGCCTGTTCCCAGGCATGGACCCAGTTTCAATGAGTTGGTCTTGTGCTCTGCAACCTTGGTTTGCATAGGAAGACAGTACCAGGCTTTACCAGGGCAGAGGGACACTAGCATGGTGCCATATTCAGTTATCCCAGGCCAGGTGTAACCTTTGGTGCCGTGGGAAAAGGATGTGGGCAGGAGGGACCATTGTTCATATGGCAACAGTCCAAGATAGCACCAAATGGCATTTTCTGAGACTGTAAGAGATATTATCAGGGCTCCCTGGCTCCCTTTTGGGTGAAAATCTGGAGAGACCTCTTTGCTCTGGCCATTGCCCGCATGTTACCCTCCACCATGACACCCCTTCTCCCCTGCCAGGTGACTGGAGAGCACCTCCCAGCCCATGCCTTTCCAAGGAGGGTTTGACCTGTCATGAATACATCCAGGGGAAAGAGGGAGAAACACTGGGAAGGAGGAGGAATTATTTGAAATAAATGGGAATTTGTATAAAATGACTGAGAATATAATTTGAGTGGAGAGCAGGCAGTTTATAGCAACTGGAGAAATGAGGTTCTGGTGTTAGCTGAGCTTGGTGGTGTGTGACCCTCCTTACCAGCCGGGAGATTCATGGGGACTCACCCTGCAGGCCTCTTTCAGTCTCTCCTGCTTTAGAAACCAAGTGCAAAGGCAGAGCAATGGTGTTACGTCCTGTGCAGTCCTTGACAATGCAAAGAGCTGTGCTTTGCAGGAATAATCTGAATTTGTATGGTGTAGGGACTCTGCATGAACTATACTTTTTCTCTAGAAATGGTTGCAGACCGTGAATAGACCTAGTTAATGTGCAGGGAGGAGCATGAAGCCCCAGAAATGCTATATGCCTAAAGACTGATATAGAAAATCACACCAGATTTGGAAAGTAACATTTAATAAAGGCAGAGCAGGCCATGAAATGCCAGAAGGGGTGTGTTCAGTTTGGTTCAGAATATCTTGGAATGATGCTGCAAATGTTATTGTTGTCCCCAGGGTTGCAGTCACAAGAGGACTAGGGAGACTGGAGCGTGAAAAGGAATTGGATAGATAAGAGATGTTCAGTTTAAAGAGTAGATGGATGAGAATGAGATGAAAGAGAGACAAAAGGGAATAGATCAGAGAAAATAAATTGGATGGCTCTGTTCATCTTTTTCTCATAATGCAAGGACCAGGACATATCTAGTAGTGCTGAGAACCAAGAACACTGTAACTGGTCTCTGGTCTGAGAAATCTATTAAGGAAGAAAAACATGTCCCCCTCTCAGACAAAAATAATCTCTGGTACTCTCTGCTACAGGAGAGACCAGGGGAGACAGAGGAAAAAAGAAAAAAATCAGGCATTTAGATATGTAGCAAGACTGTCTCATGAGTGAGGAGCTTAAGTGAGGAATGCATCTTTATGTTGTCCTTGGAGAAGACATTCCCTGGGGGGGGGTGGGGGGGGGGGGGGTCCTGCTGTGTTGCCCACCCTGGGGGATCCTCCTGCAGCTCCTGGTGCTGAGCTGAGCTGTGGGGGTGCTGGGAGAGAGACCCTGCTGTGGGCACAGTGGCTGGGGTGGGAGAGCGGGTGCTGCCCTGGGGGGCTGCGACACGGTGTGGGTCATACCTGGACCCCCACCTGGCTGATGCTGTGCCCCCTCCTCCCAGGGACTGCGTGGCCCTCTGTTTCCTCAACAGCGGCACCAGCTTTGTGGCCGGCTTTGCCATCTTCTCCATCCTGGGCTTCATGGCAAGGGAGCAGGGCGTTCCCATTGCCGAGGTGGCTGAGTCGGGTGAGTGGGGCTGTGGCCGGATGGGGCTGCGGGGGTGCTGCCGTTTAGCCCCCCTCAGGAAGGGGAGCATGCCCACAGGATACCTATGCTGGGGCAAATGATGTTGGAGCTGCAAGTTCCCATCCTGGTGGGCAGCTCTGCTTTCTGCCTCAAAACCCAGGAAGAAACAAATGCACACTGATGAAACACTAAGATGCAATGGCCATGGCCTGAGGTCAATATAAGCTGCCTGTAAGGGTTAGGGTTAGGCAGCTGCTGCCTCTTGGTGGGGGGGTGAGGTGCCTGCATGGCATATGCCCAGGCTTGTGGTGTGCTCCCCTGGGCTCTGAGGCTTTTCCTGGCTCCCAGCTCTCATGATGGCGATGCAGCGAGAGCTTGCTGTGTCCCCGTTCCTTCCCTTCTTGCTGGGCTCCTCCACCCCTCGAGGAGCTGGGGTTTCATGCACAGTGCCGGTGTAAGTGAAGCGAGAGGCTGCAAG